GCATCTAGAGGTCCATTCTGCAACCTGACAAAGTCACAAACCTGACTCTCATTAGGATGACTTGATGTAAATTAAAGGTTCATATAATGATGCTGAGGCGATGACTCAGGCTGCAACAGAAAGCTAATCAAAGTTTTGTCCAATTAAATGCTGAGGGAAAGTACTTTCAGAACAACATTGCTGAAATTCCTCGGGGGGGAAAAGAGTCTAAGAAAAACTTTAAGGACAGACACTTGCATGTCAGCATGATCTGTTATTAATCCAGGTGACTGTGCTGCTGTTTTATTTGAGAACACTTCAGAACAATGCACATGTTAGGCACATAATAAAGTGTTTTAACCCTCAGGCATCAGTTTAGTTTACTACTTTCTTAAGTCACTAAGGACAACCACTGTAACCAGGTCTGTCTCCATGTTCATTTGTACATCATATGGATAACATCTAAACTGATCATTTAGATCACCACATACAGTAGATTAGTTAGCCTTTATATTTAATTGTCACTGTTATGAAGCTATATGTTTAAATTAGCCTCATTATAACCTCCTGAGTCATACAGTGTTCATCTGCTGGCAGCATGGATAAGGCCTGAATTCTGTTTAGGGGAGCAGAATGACTTCCAATCAATTCTAGAAAGACAAAAAAGAAAAGGACAATGGACACACTGTATTAAAGTCACAGCTGAGAACTATTGGAGGGAAAGCTGGTTCAATGTGATCGTTGACAAAAAGTATAAAGCTAGACTCATAACTCTGGTGAGAAACAACACTGAACAATACTTCTGAACTCCATCAGCTCTCAGATGACAAGTAATATTTCAAAGTTGGCTCGACAGGAGCATAACAAAAAGATGATAAGGGATGTCACCCTGTGTGGTGCATAGTACAACACTTATAATGTACTTCTATTTGATATAGTATAAAAACTGAAGAAAACCCTGTCTTCAATAAAAAAGGATGAAACAATAATGCCCATAACTTCTGACTGGTAAATGAATGTTACCAAAGACGAGTGGCTGACCTTTGAGAAGAGACCAGCAAAAGGCAAAAAAAAGAAAAAAAAAAACATTATAATAAAACAAACAGATTAATCCACCAATAATCTCTGCTGGATGTTGAGCCACCAGATGTGTGCCCCTCATATGGGCTAAGGTTTTGATGAATGGGAATAGGTAGTGCTCTGTGTGTCCAGGTGGTACAAACAAATTAGTCAATACACATCTCAGTATAAAGTGTATTTGGATTTCGTTTTATGGGAAACACATTCAATAAGACCCCTGTGTGTTGTTTTTAGCCTGCAAACAGTGCTGACCACTGTCTTTAAAGGTAGCCCCCTTTTTTAATACACAACTTCACATTTTGCTACAAAGACGGGCCAGTAGTTTCCTGAGTAATGTTACAGGCCTACGTGAACCCACCTGGAGTTCACACCATGCCACTTCGACCCAGGTGTCGGTGTCCAGACCTTTGTAGACCGTCTTGAAGGACCCCCTGCCCAGCTCAATGTCAAACTTGAGGAAGCGGCCCCCAGGTGAGGTGGACACCGCCTTCGTCCCCGGCTCTTCTTCGTTCTCATCACTTCCCGCTTTACCTGTGACGTCAGAGGGCACGACCTCTGCCTTTGGCACGCTTTCTCTCCTGCCCACTTTCTCCTCCTCAGCGCTCGCGCTCTCTGTGGCGCTGTCCTTTAAGCCCACCTGGCTCTCTGTGCTGGAGGTATCCTGGAGGCCAAGACGAGCTCCGTGCTGGGACCGGGTCCGACTCCGGTCCACGATGGTCCGTAGGTCAATGTTAAGTTCCGGGCTTCTGTTGACACACTCCGGCGGGTCGAGCGGCTGCTCCTCGGAGTCTGACACCCAGAGGCTCCGGCGGATGAACCTCTGGCGGACTAGCCCCTGGTAGTCAGTGGACGGGTAGGCGCTGGGGTCACTTGATCCTCGCAGGGATTCGTTCTGGATGTTGACATTGTGGTCCGTCCCGTTTTCATAAACAGCCCTGTGGGCATTGGCGTTAATGTCCGAGTCTAAATTGGGCGCTGAGGAAAACGTGGAACCCAGCGGCGGATCTTTCCTCGAATCTTCCGCCGAATCCATCCCGGTAACTTCTCAAACACTTACCGGCGCCATGGTGCAGGGAGGAGGATGAGCACGCGCCTCTCCGGTGGTGGGAGAGTTTGCTGCCTACCTGCAGCTCGCGCATGCAGTGACGCAGTTCTCCAGCTCAGGATGTATGGCCTTATAAGCCTTGTGTTTGTTTAGGATACATAGCATCCCCGCAAAACGTCCAGCTCGGAGGATGCGTGCATTGCTTCCTGCCACCTCCTCATGCGCCTGTGCACCTTGCTGCAATACAGCGCAGAGATACTCAATTTAAGCCTGATGTCATCCCCTGAGCTCAAGTTAGCACTTTCCTCCACACTGCATAAGGTCTCCTCTGTCAAAAATTTGGATTGTTCCGCGACTACACACTGACAGTGGACAGGCCGGGATGTTTAGGCTGTGCCACGCGCTAATCCCCCGAAAGACGCGTCACGGGACGAAGTGCGCAGCTGTCATCCCTGTAAACACGCACCGAGCCGGGATCCGGTTCATGCAAATAAATCGCAGGTGTTCCGGGTTGAAATCTGAAGTCCCATTAAGCGTTACCTCAGCTCCTCTTCATTCTTCCTTTGACCATTCTCGCGCACTTGTATTCCCCCCTCTGTCTGTCGTTTAGGTGCGGAGCACAGGATGGGTTGAAGCTTATCAGATTATGCCACTGCGGCACACTTTCCCTCAGGTTGAACCAGGAAGCTCTCAGCGCATCTCTTATCCAGCTGATGACACTATTGTCCTCCTGAAATTTTTATCTTTTTTTCTTATCTCCGGTTTGAGGAAAAGTAGCCTAGACAATTTCACGGCACAGCCCACGCCCCTAGCAACAACACGTATCCAATAAGTCTTCACGCTTTTAGGCGGCACCCTCATCCTCCCGTGACACAGGCTGCGTGGACCACACTGCTGTCCGCCCTCTCTGTGACGCTCATAGCCTCCAATGGGAAGGTGTCTGTTAAACCTATACCCGCCACAAGGGACGCTGCTTGGAATTATGGGACACCGGATAAGACGCACAGGTCCACGTCTTTATATTCATCCACACAAAAGCAGGGAGAGTGAGGGAGAAAAGAGCTTTTAGGATTATGAAATGCCTTCTCTGGGATTTTTCCACTAGAGTCCATGCACACGGTGTTTTAATTCACTGTGTGTTGCAGGTTGTTTCAGAAATTTTTGAGGAATGGCCTCTAGTCACACTTGTATCCTTAGATACTTTTATGTGAGTGTTGCCTCTTGTTTGCACGTAGGCTACTATTCTTCATTGTTCCAGTAAAGTTATTATTTAAATAGATTGGAAAAAACTTCAAAACTGTTTTTTAAATCAGGATATCATCGACTAATGAAATTGGGGTGATTAAACCTCTTGTAAGGAGATGTTATGAAACAGACTAACATTAAAACGTATGCAACTTTATCTGATACAAAAACAAATGAGACCGTCAGTGAAAAGATTTGTTTCAAGAACTTTTTTTTAATGCCTGGAAATGATGCTGAAGGGTAGGTGTCATGAGGAGATTAGCACCATGCTGCATTAATACCTGTTTTTAAATACATTCTGCAGATTTAAGAAGATGTACTGCTTCTTCCAAAGGGTTCAATATTTGTTTCAAGGCCTAGGCATCTTTTTCTCCATGGGAATAAAGCAAGGAAGGTTTTCAACTTTACGGGGTCAGCCTTGGAGGTCAAACCTGCCCAGATCTCCATGGAAACGGTTAAATAAAAGGTACCATTCAGAGGCCTTGGGGGGTTGGTTGACAATGCAAATAATAAATGTGATGGTTGGTGTGTGGTCTTCATTTCCTTGTGACACATGACCATATGCATTTTATAGATAAGACTTTTCAGTGATCATGCTGCCGTTTTCTCTTCTAGTCAAATTTGTTTTAAACACATACAATCTTTAAGGATATGGTTTATTGGAGATTAAAAAAGACCCAATTCTTGTAGTACATAAGGAGCCATGACTACTCATTGAACTTTCTCTCTGAAGTTTTGTGTATGAGACTTAAAGGAACTCTTGAAATGGCATGGCTTCAGCTCTAAAGATCTTCTTGTTTTCCATATAATAGTTCTTTGAATTGTCATCGGCCCAAGGTGGAAATCCTTATTGTGCCATGTAATAATCATTATCAGGTAAGAATGTACTTGAATGTATCCATAAATATATTGATATGTTTTGATCAACTGATCTATTTATTTACTTAGCTGGATCCAATCACGTGTTATCAAATATTGGATCCTGATAAAAGCCAAAGTAGGATATTTCCCAAGGACGCTTTCTAAAGGGCTTTCATGGGCCCTGTAAATTATATATAACACTTTGAGTTATTTACATCCAAAGGAGTATCAATACTCTTAAATGTGGGGCCAATAAAGGGGCTTTCTGTCCAAATATGTTTGACCTATAGTACTGCATATGTTTACATTGCAAATTATTCCACAAATGATTTCTTAATCAATGGTACAACATAAAGTGGTTGGCCCAATTTTATTCCAAAATACAAATATATTTATTCAAACTGGGTTTATAGTTTTGTTAAACAGTGCCCAGAAGTGTCAGCTCTTGTCTCTCATTTGATATCTGGTGCAAGCAGTTCATGTTTTATATTTATGAATCATTCCAACATTTTAGTAATGGCACTATCAACAAATCATTTCGTATGACAACAGTAGAATTCGTATGAAAAGAAAGAGTTTTTAAAAGGCTGTTCGCATTTTTATACTTACACATTATATCTAGTTAATATTAATTTGATTTATTGACCAGCATAAATTGCCAAGTTGCGTTTCCGGTTTTAGTGGCACCAGCTTGCAGTACCACTTTAACACGCATGATGGCAGCAAAGAGTCATGAGCGTGTCCCTGCCTGCAGATAAGACCCCAGTTACAGTCCGAGTAAAGCCATTGGTTGACTCATAGCAGGTTTCAGTTTAAGTGTGGGAAACACCCCATTATTAAATATCCTATTGAGAAGCCTTGCTTGCTCACACTTCCCCAAACAGCCCACAGGTTATAGTTTAAACACAGCCGTCCCCATGCTGGAGGGGCGGTAATCTGGAGCTCTTCTACCCTCTCGTCGTCACGACAGGCTCTTGTATATAGTCTGTGCCTCTGCCCTCCGGCTGGACCACCGACTTTTGTGAAGACCACGCCATACAAGATCAACCGGTCCGGGATTGTCCTCGGTTTTTTTTTTAACAAGATGCCTACGGAAAGCCTGGAAATGAACGGTGATGCTGACCGAAACGGCGAGGCGGAGGTAAGGCAGCGGCGGCACCCCTGACAAAGAACAGCGTGTGTCCAGCTAATCTTTCCACTATTATGTCCACTCATTTCCTGCTAAGACTCAGCCGGGGGTAAATCACCCGCAGAAACATTTCCAAGTCTTAGTGGCATAGCGGCTCCTGAAGAAATGGATGGCTCCCTCATCCTTTTCAGACATTGTTGTTGAATGAAAGACAAAAAGGCTGAACAAGTGTCGAGTGGTTTCATACTAATGAGACCGGTTTGCGGCTTTGGATAAACTCTATTTTCTATAGTTAAATAAGTTACGACTTGTGTTATTGTGCGATGGCTCATTTCCTCTGCTATTATCTACCAAGTGTCAGATTACACATAATGATAGACGATACAGAGGACCATGTGGGAGGAGGGTACAATATATGCTCTCGTGGCTCTGCTCTGTCTGTGAACCAAATAAAGGCTATGATTTGACGAGATGATGGGTTCAAAGTACTTTTTAAAGAGGTCACATTCATGAATGCACATAGCCTACCAGCTTAAATTGGCTCTCTTAAACAATACACCTTTGTTTGATGAAAAAAAAGGAAGCTATAATACCCATACAAATACCTGTTACTTTGGCTAATAGCTTAAGTTGGGCATCTGTGACCTGGTAACTATAGTCTTACAAAATATCAAAACTTTTTGAATTAGTTTTTGTCTGGCTCACCTACTCACTAACAGTTTTACTAAGAAACCGGAAGATAAATTTAAAAAAAAAAAAAATCTGGTAAAGTCAGGTGGATAAATAGCCCGTTTGTGTTCACACATGAGTTTTGCAAATGTGTGAAAACAGCTTAGGCTATGTCTTGAATTGGTACCAGGAAAAAAATATCGGAGAAGATCTCTGAATGCTCAAGGTTAAAGACCTGCTTGTTTCTGACATTTGGGAATTTGGCGTAGTTTGGTGAGTGTCTGATGTTTTATCAGGATTTTCTGGCTATTGAAAGGAAGCTTTCATGTTTTATTAATAAACATGACAGGATGTAGAGTATATGAACTCCAAAGAGCATACATTAAGTAAGGTAAGGCATCCTTTCTTTGAAAACTGAGACAGTAATAGTGGGAAACCCCATCATCACGTAAAATGAGTCAATGAACCCACACAGGGAAACTGAAACTAGCACTACGTGGAAAACTACAGAAGGTGAAAATGGAGCTGAGGCAGTATACTAGCTGTGAAAGCGAGAGAAACAGCGGTTGATAGGATTTGCTCTCACACTCATCTGCTGGTCCACCACATAAGCACTTTTTTCCTATGTGGCCTGGCACTCCCCCAGAGGAGTGGAAAGAGTAACGCTTTGACCAGCCTCAGAGTGTTTATGCCAACATGGGCATAACGGGGACATTATTGGAGAGCTAAACTCCACTCCACCCCGATGAAACCCTGAGCACTGACCTCAAATATGAGTGACAGGTGTCTCGTCAGTGACCCTGGTTTCTGCGGTGTTTATGTTGTGACTTTAACCACATTCTCATATCATGTGAAAGTGAACATTTTCCTTGCTTTGTGCGCTCAGATGTTTCCCCTTTAAGGCATCTGTGACATTTAAACTTTAAAGTCATAATGAAAACCTTTCATAGGGAGGTGTGCTCTAAAATAAACAGCCTTAATTATTGTGAAACTTTGTAATAACTGCAGGTTCACTTCTGTATTTTGTACCAAACTTTCAGTCATACTTTATTGATCAACAGAGGGGAAATTCGGGCGTTGCAGCAGCACAGACAAGCTCAAACTTAATTGAAGAAGTAACTTTAGGACACTTATGTTATGACAGTTTCAGTTATTTATATGAAACATCTTTGGTATTTTGGTTCTAAGTTGGATAAAACAACTCATTTGAAGGTTGTTATCTCTTCATAATCATGTGTCTCACGAGTCGATTTCCATTCTTGGGGACACATTTCGATTCCCATTCTATTTTCGATTCAAAACGATTCTGGATTCATGATTCAAAGACTATTTTTTGAATGAGTACATACTTCAGGATCTACTCCAGTCATCTGTGAGACTGGCTGAATGTATTGCTGCTCCATTTGGCATTCTACTGAGTTAAAGAGCTAGCCTTAGCACTTAGCAAGGAGTGCTTAGCCAAAAACAAAAAAGAAAAGATTTTTGGAAGTTATGAATCTATTATAAATCTCAGAAGATAAGAATCTCAATTTTTACATAAATGGATTTTTTCCCACCTCTACCACTGAGTGTCTGAAATGCCTCGACACATAAATCTGAAACATGCAATCTATTTGTTTCTTCTTCTCCGAAACAGAAGACCACTCAGCAAAAACATGTGCACCCGTGTTTACACTGATGGGATGTTTGTGTTGTTAATCACCTTTGTATTTCACATTTAAGACATACAGAACTCTTTTACTTTTCTACAAATGCACAAAGGGAAGTTGATTCTTCGACATGTCCTTCGTTCTTTCTTTACTTAAAATGACGGATGTATAACTCTGCCCCTGTGACATTCCACAGCAAAACATGTTAAATGTATTATTCATCTAATTGACTATTATCTAAAAGTAATACAAGTGAGCGTAGTTATTGCAGTGTACACATTCATGCACACTCTGTTTAATGGTTTCGTTGTGTTTGCCTCTTGTCCATAATTGTCTTTGGTCACTTTTTCCCTTTGTGTTTGGGTGGAGGCCATCCTGGCACTCATTGTGTGTTTTTAATGTTTAAACTGGTTAGCTGAACCTGAACGACTTATTTTTAACCTCTCATTGAGTGACCTGCGGGGTCATGTGTGTTCCTGTTTAATTTAGCCACTGAACACTTTCACTTCCATTTTAAACCACAGTTAACAAACATATTACTATTGCACAAATCTAGGTTTAAGGATTATTGCACAGTTATCAGTTCTGGATCTTTCTTCATTTTTTTCCTTCATTAAATTGAGTCCAGTTGTTTTGGTACTAGCAACTAGTACCAAAAGTGATGAAATTCTCAAACTTTACTTAACAGTTACCCATGTTTAAAATGGTATTGCTACAGTGAACACAAACTGCCAGTTACATTTGATAGTCTTCTATAAATAAGCTAGTAACCGTTATTTATAAACCCCTCTTACAGGCATCAGTCACAGAGGCTTTACGTGAACAAAAGAGAAGATGAACTGTATTGTCCTGGTCGGAATTTTTCCTTGGACTTGAGGCCACCAAGAGACCTCGGGTCAAACACCATCTCCTCTGTTTGTTTGTTTTTGGGTGTCAAGGAGGAGACAGTGTTTGTCGTCACACCACTGCACAAAGTTGATGAATGTATATTTATATGTGTGAATATCTTGGTCAGTTTGCATGAGTTTGAGGTTAACAGTGTCATCTGAAAATAATGTATAATAATGTGTACCAGCAATAGTGAAAGTGTAATACACTTTCACTATTGCTGGTACACTGTGACTGATTTGTGTAGAGAGTGGACAACACTGGCTAGCTAACACACCCCTGGGGCACTCCGTTGCTGATTGTTGTGAGGTCTGACACAGTTCTGTTCACTTTGACTTGCTGAGTTAGTGAGAAATGAATGATACTATTTAATAATAAATGGATTGACACTAAGCTGGTGTAATATATTGAGTAGTTTGTGAGGCTGCAAGGTGTTAAAGGCTAAACTAAAATCAACAAACAATAGTCCAGTGTAGGCCTTGGTATGCTCCAGGTGTTTGGTGACCATGAGCCACATATTTAAAAGAGTGCCAAATGTAGAATAATTATAGAAGATCGAGCTAATATTAAGGCAGTACGCTCATACTATATTGTCGTATGTGAATGTAGATAACTATCTGAATCATTGTTCTCAGTTAGGAGTGTTGTCTTTGATTTATAGTTTGTGTATGAGTTGACACACTTAAGTGACACACAATGCTGAGTGGCACCTTTGATTCCATGATGTACTTCCGCACATTTTGATGTGTCAAAATGTGATTTCCAGTTAGTCATTCACATAAATTCATAGAAATCCAGAAGTGCCATCAGCTATCTCGTTCTCCCTGTTTTAGTAACTAAGTAAATACAATGTGTTCACGATTTCAAGGACAAGAGAGAAGGTGCTTCTGCAGTATGAGTTAACAGTGGTGAAAGTGAGGAGGTTTTCATTTTGGTTTAAATCACAGCAGCATACTGTTTTGCTCTCAAGAAAAATGAAAAAGATGGCACAAATGTAATGACTACATTTCAATGTCTGTGGCATCCTTCATGTAGGTCAATAATAAATCCTGCACTGACCTGACCTTTTTAAGTATTACGGTACTAGCAGTCACTAAAAGCTTGTGTCATCCTCTGAGTCATAATGATGTCATTGTTTGTGTTCAGGTTCCGTTGCGACGTCGCTTCAGGAGGCTGCAGGGCCCTGAGGGTCCTCAGGGCCCTCTGAACATGAACCACTATGCTAACAAGAAGAGCGCAGCAGAGAGCATGCTGGATGTGGCGCTGCTGATGGCAAACGCCTCACAGCTTAAGGCCGTACTGGAGCAGGGACCAGACTTCACCTTCTACGTGGTCCTCATCACACTCATAAGCATCTCTCTTGTCCTGCAAATCCTGGTGGGAGTACTACTCATCTTCATAGGTACAGTAAGTCAGGACTTTGTCTATTTGACAAAATCTCTGATTGGCTTGTTAGCTTTCAAATATTATACACATAAACTAAAGTAATGCAAATAAAAATCATAAAAACATTGTTTTTACCCTGCACTACATTTTTTGTTGAATGTCATTATATTAGTTATATTATTGTGATATTGGGTTTACTTTTTCTAGACAAGCAGATCAGTTAGCTCAGTCACACAAGCAGTGAGGTTCAGCAAAGAAAATGTACTGTTTGAATTTTGAAAATAAGTGCCCAAACAGTGCTACACTAATCCTTTAACATCAATAAGTTACAAGTTACCATGCTTTAACTTATCCGTTTGAGTATTTGTGACTTCAATGTCACACACATTATGAAACACAATCATGTTTCAGTGTGTACTAAGATGTTAACAGCTTTTTTTAACACATGGTTTTCAGATTTTGCATTTCCTCACTGTTGATATAATGGCACATGGAGAAATTTTACTTGAGTTGTCAGTTTTTAACTAAAAGTTTTGTCTATAAAGCTAAATAACTTACATTTTTAGTTTTTCACATGGTACTGATAGGAGAGTTTGAACAAAAAAAGTTGTGTATTTCACAATTTAAAAATCCATTTCAGCTTTTTTTTTTTGTGCCCATACATAAGGGTAACTGTTTCGGTAAATGTGTCAGGACGGACCCTCAAACAGTACAAAGTTTGTCTTCCCAAACACAGATGTGCTCCCTCCCCCCCTCCTGACTTGGTCCTTATCTTATCCTAACAGAGAATACTGTTGTGATGGATGGTCGAGTTTAGAGAGCTGCAGCAGGAAGGATGTCTTGTCAGCTGCTTCTGTTGCTGCCAATTTCAAAGTTAGCCTCCAAAAAATGTTTCGACACATGAAATTTGCAAATACTAAGAATCCAAGTAAAAAAATATCTGTCAACATCACCTCAAACCAGTTATGTATGTGATGCCCTAATGAAGGCAAAAGCTAATCATACACCTGAGGGCAGAGCTGTCAGAAGCTGTTAATCTATATCAGTGCTTATTAATGATTACTTCACTACTAATCTGACATGAGTCTCTGTGCTGCCCTCTTGTGGGGAAAAGAGGTCACTCCCACTGACTAAGCACAATTCCTTAATATCTGTAAACATGTTTTATTTCTCTGTTACTAGTGAAGTGGAACCTGAACGATGAAAGCATGCACTACAGGCTGAACTTCCTGGAGAATGTGGTTACATCCTTCGTCTTTATCATTGTCGTGGTCAATGTCTTCGTCACAGCCTTTGGTGTCCAGCAGCCCAAAACATACGGCTGATCTACCAAATGGGGGGACTCTTCATGCTGATCAACTCAGTAAAAATTGGCCTCTGCGTTATTTTACAAACTGGACAGGATGTTTAATTTATTCACCAAACCGAATGCCATGCATGTGCATTTGTTTTAGTGTAATACAAGGACTGAGGAGATCAACAACAGCGCTGAGGATCAGGTGACATTATGTGTGTGTGTGTGTGTGTGTGTGTGTGTGTGTGTGTGTTAGAGGGGTTTACGTCTTCTCTAACCATGCAGTTATCTCTTATGATGCTCAGGCCACATGCCTTTAATCAGAAAACAAACATATCTGGAGCAATACACTGTGTGACAGTCACATACACGTGAATGTTTCCTGAGAAATAAATTACATTTTGTTGTTTTGTTTTGATAGTACCTATGTCAGTTTTAGCCTAATGTTTGCCTTTATCTTCAGAAGAAAAACCCATCACCTCAGCATAATCCAAATGAAATACTTAGTATGTGCGTCAATCAGGAGCCATCTTGGCCTTCGCTGCTCGAGGCATTACCGGACATAACAGCTTTATTATGGGGGAAATTGACTGTTAACAGTGTTACAAAGCTCATCCTTTTAATGAAGTGGACCTTACGTAGTGATTTTAGTGCTATGCAAAATCTTGTGTGTACTATTTGTAATGATTTACCTGTATGTTTTAGTTAAAGTGTTATTGATTTATATAGTTTATGTGTACTTTGAGTATTTTTTAATCGCTTTTTTAAAATACCGAAACGTTCATGCCTTTTAACATATGATCTTGTACGACACACTGTGATGTATATTTTAAATTAATTTTATAAATAAAACAAACATTGCAATATTTTTTGGGGATAATTTGTTTTTATTATCTTGTTTAATTTCATCATGCATGATTTTTTATTGTACATAGAAAAAAAAATCTACATCTTAAAAACGATGGCACTTGAATGTTTAAGGCGCTGTTAGACACAACAGTAGGTAGAGTATGTGACAAACTGTTAGGCATTGACATCAATGAGGAGACATTCATTGAAAATCATCAGCATCATATATCAAAGTTTCATGGTAGAACAACATCAAAGATTGTTGAGTAAAAGAGGCAACAACTTGGCTGTGACAGTTCAGACATTGGCTTCTGATATAAAGTTTGACCACAAAGAAATACAGTTTAACAAAGCACCACAATTTTAGTTGCGATCAGAGCCCTTCTCTATGTTTTGTTCAAACAACATCCTGAGAAAAAACATCAAATTATATCTACCATTTTATTAATTGTCTTTGGATAAATCAGATATGCACTCATTAATGTATAGTTGAAAAAAAGGCCAACTAATATCCACACATAAGGATATAGTAACTATCAATAGCTGGGGTTCAACTCTCAAACACTCAGCCAGCTTCTTCTGTGGGATAAAAAGCACCGACTTTTACATTTTTGAGTCGTCCTGAGTATTTGACGCTAAAATGACTACAGGCTGACAGGAAATATTACATTTTCCACCCTGCCCAACCCAACGGAAACAAAGACATGGGGAAGTATTCAAGGCATGCTTCCGGACTAAAAGTATTTGTCTAGAGCAGAAGACGAAATCTGTGGTGAGTATAAATAAAAAATAAAATTCAGAGATAGAAAGGCACTCGATACATAGAATCTGCGTACATTGTAAATAAAAAAAAACTTGGTTAGAGATGCCACGAAGTAGGTGGCAATGCCTTAACCGTATATGTGTTGAAGGCCACTAGGGCCTCTTCCATCCTTGTCAAGGGGAGTGCTAACCTTCTCTCCTTTCATACAACACGATGAGAACATGGACGACGTCACTATATATACCAGCTATTTCGGAAGACACATACACTCACGGTGCCATTTCTGATTTCATCCGCGGTATAACGACTTAAACACTGGTCTCGCGTTTTCATTTCAAAATGAATTTCTAGATAGGTGTTCGTAGTTAGTCTTTGTTACTAAGTCTTTTGTCAATGTATATTTTGGTTTGGGTGTAATTCTACCCATAATGCAACGCGCAGGGAGAGCAGAATATCATTGGTACAAATAACCATGTGACTACAAAACACACAATAAACTCGTCTAAATTGTTGAAATACGGACCCAGTTCAACAAAATTCGGACTGTTTAGATGACTTGTATCTTTTTTCGTGTGTCTGTTTTCGAGCAACGGGATTTTGGGAGGCACTTTAGTGACTAAGACGAGACATTTCTAATAATATTGTTCCCAAGTAACCACCAGAGGGCGGTATTGTCTTGGTTTCCTGATACAATTTAGGGAGTACGTTCATTGAAGTGTTTTTTAATATGTATAAAAGCAGAGGTAAATAACCAGAAGAGTAGGTGTATACCCCCCCCCCTCAAAAAATGTATGGCTCAAGGAATATATAGAGCGCTCTATGAACCAACATAAAAGTAAAAAGAATAAGGCCTGAGTCTCTACACCGAAGTGCAAGCAAGTAAAGGAAAATTATTGTAGTATTGTATGTACTGATGAATGGGAGGTTATCATTTCTGTAGTAATAGAATATATAATCTGAACCTATAAGGTTATATTTTTGCATGTTTATTTTGGTCTGCTTTTTGTCTAACTTGGAAGATTTTTAGGAGAGAACGTGGTCAAATCATCTTGTTAACTTGGATTTTGCAGGAGCCCAATCCAACCGGCTGATCTTTATTTGGGGACTCTTCATGTTGATCTACCCTTCCATGTGTTTACTTCTTTTCAGCAACTAGGTATCAACATTTGGAGAATTACGAGCTAAATGAAGCCCTAATTTTCCTCATATTTCCCACTTTTCATCACAAGAAAAATAATATATGAGATGGAGTACAAAATAAGCATTCAACTCTTGCAAAGAGACTTGCTGTGCTTGAGTGCAGGTATCATTCATAAGAGCAGTACTGCTAAAGCACCTTGTGTGAAGGAGTCCCCTCTTACTTCAGGAGGCTTTCCTCAGTATACCATATGAGAACCTCCTGTGCCTTCTTTTTCAAACCCAGAGCAGCCAACCCAAGGGCCCGGCTTCCTCCCGTCAATTTATCCTCTGTAAAACAAAGAACCTTCTTAGTAAACCTGAGATTACCAGACATTGAATAATATTGTTTTTCAGTGAACAGTCTAAAGATGACACGCGTAAGCTAGAAAATAATATTGACAATATCTGATTATCACCATGGCAATGTCCAGTCTTGTAGGCTACTCACCACTATAGTAATAAAGTAAAGCCATTCCCACTGCAACGCTGAAACAGCCCAGAAAGAAGAGGGGATCTGGATAGAAGTTAAAAAAAATAAAGAAAATCTTATTATCAGGTGTGCTTATCAAATCACACCCAATAGAATAGAAGATAATAGATGTTTACTGTCATTTGCACAGGTACAAGACAGTACAGGTACATTGGAATTTGTATGCATTGGTGCAAGTCAGCTTTGTGAAATTTGAAAGACAGAAAGGCAGCAAATAAATTACAGTCATTACAAATAATACACATATACAATATAACACACTTTAAATTAGATATAAAAAGTACACACTTTCTAAGTAAAACAATAAACAGAGACACTGTATTAGGCTGTGAAATAGAAAAAATTTTTTACATCAGTTTTTGCACTTGGGACAATTTTAATCATGATACCCATATCATTAAGGGTCACCAATCATCAAATCTTTGTTTGTTACGAATCTCTGCGGCCTAAAATCCAAGGATGTGGTACTGAATGCAACATTGCACACACTTTGACATAGTCTGTCATTTAAACATCTTACCTCTGTCATTCAGAACATATCTCTGATGGTACACACGAGGATGGGTGAGTGGATCTAAGGAATCTGGAAGCAAGACAGAAGAAAAAAACCCCACTGTAATACATAACTGCGTATGTGTAATCCAGGCTTTATAATACATACAATATCAAATATCTCAAAGGGATTATATATGTTATAGAGGAGCAGATTTGGGGACTAACCTCTGAGGCGTAGCCGTGTAGGCAAACTGTAGTAAACCTCCTCTACATGCAAGTGAAGAGCTCTGTAAAACTCCCGGCATGCGTCGTCTCCTTTCCCCTGCAGGTGTGTCAGGAGCTCCCCCAGGCGAACACTTGTAGGCACATCCAAGTTTCTGAACTGGGGAACAATAGGAACAGTTGTAATGGGATATTTGAATCCCAAATGGAACAGATATTTCCAGGGATGCTTGCTTATACAGCTTTCCCCAGCCAGAATGAATCATTATCCATATAGATTCTTAAGAATTGATTTCATTTATTCAATTAAGTGCTTTTTTTATAATCGTTTCATACAATAAAACACATTTTAAATCTTACATCAATTATTTACTGCTTGAGGTGCTTAATAAAGCATAGGTGTAAGGCTCTTTTAAAGGAGGAGGATTAAGTACCAGACTGCAGTGGCATATTCATTGTTTCTGTTCATGAGCGAGGCACTGACAGCTGGATCTATTCTAGACAATTTTGTGGGAACAGGGTGAAGGTGTGGAGGCCTTCATTCTGTTTACAGTGATACCAGTGACACCCTATAGTCATTTTTCTCAGAGCTAGGCCTAAAGCAATTACACTTTGAAAGGAAACTTTGCATTGAAAACCTCTGATGTCAAGCATTAAATAGGCCTAATGCTTATAAATGAACACACCAGTAATATTAAATGGAATACAGGTTAACTTCAAACAGGACAGAGGGCATTTTGCAGCAAGATGGTTATCTGTATTTATCATACAGTTTCTAAATTCGACTATTGATTTTTTTAATGCTAATAAAGGGTAGCTTATTTTCACATCACACCATAGTGTTACTTTTACTTGAAACTTGTGTTGCATGCGGTCAAAAGTTGGGGAAAAAAAAAAGTAATTGTCTGAGGACTTACTTTAGTGGCCTCCTTGTCTGAGAGGACCTGGGGGTAGATTCTGTTGAGCTGCAGGGTGAGTTTGTCCACTAGCTCCGTGTCAAGTCTGCGGTCAGTTCGGAGGAAGGCACTGTCCTCTATCAGCTGCTCGTGAAAACTGTCTGCACTCGTTAACAGGGAGAATATTTGAGAACAAGACTTAGTAGGTTGGAGAAACAATTGTAAAGACTGTACGATGAAAGGCTAACCTCTCATTGATACGGCACGCTACTGAACGTAAACATATCAGTACGCCTCGACAATGTCTGCAGCGTTTCCTCGTCACCCTGGAAGGAGAGAGGGGGTAGGCTACGAGGGCATGGGGAAACTGGAATGCTGCTTGAAGAACATTTTGATGTTCAATAAAGTTGCGTTTTGGTTGCGGGTTGGGCTATGTTAAAGCTTTCGCTCCTGGTAAATGTATCTTAATGTAACAAACTTTCAAAGACCTCTACAAGCTTGAACAGAGACGTCATTGACAAAGCGGGGTAACCTTTCACGTCGTTAATGCTGTGGAAATGTTCCTCATTTTGACCTGTGGGCTATGAAAGACGTATGAGTGAAACAAATGGCTACCAGGTAGTAACCTATTTATTTTAAGGGTTATTTATACTTAAAGAAAGACACGAACCTCCCATTGTGGAGTCCCCTCTGTCCTTTGTTGGGCACGCCCTCTTACGTCACCTCCCTCGCAGCAGGGAGTGGCTTACGTGGTTTACGTCACAGACAAAAAACTTTCAACCGGAAACGTAAATTAACGACGAAAATAAGAAGATAGGCAATTTATTTTACCACTGCAACGACAGTGTTAAAATAGACAATGTATAAATGAATGGATTTTAAAATATATAACAGCTTGTCTGTCCTCAATAAATAAATAAAAAATAGTAATATAGTGTATACTACATAAGGGTTTTGGAATAAATAAACATTTTTTAAACACTTTGTCTATAATAATGTAGCTTGCATTTAGCTGCTGAATAATATGTGTACTTAATAAAGTAGTTAGAGTATTGTTTTATATTTTTCATTTAAAAAAAAAGAACACAAACTACAGAATTGTGAAAGTTATATTTATTTCTTCACAAGCCATAACTGTTAGCAACCAATAGCAGGCCGCAGTCATGAATCTTAGCACAAGTTCAGTCGTATCGTTACTGACCAGCTACCTCTTCTGAAAACTCCCTCGTGAAACCAAAAAAGGACAATGACATCCTGTAGTCTGAACAGTGTCAAATAAATACAGCTGTGGTTAAAACAAAAACATGTAAAATTCATTAGGACCATGTTTGGGAACAACAATGTGTAAAATATATATATATTTTTTTAACAATTACTCCTTGCCATTTTAATACATTGCACTTGCTTAATAAACAAATAGAAAATGGCACTGAAGGATTACTGTTGGCAGAAATTATTTGACACAAAGGATGTATTAAAAAAAACTGCATAAAAAACACAAATTCACAAATAAAAGTTTATGAATACTATTAACATCCGACCTTAACTTAGAAATATTTAAATAATATTTGCATTATTCTTCCATGTTCATAAAACCTCTGTTTTTGTAACAACTGGATATGTAACAGCTCTGTCATGTGTACAAAAAAAGAGTCCAATTGTACTGAATCAAGTTAAAAAACTTAATTAGAATATTAATACTATTTTGAATAGTATGTGTTAGAGGTTTTTTATGAGCCAAACACAAAGCATGGTAAACAAAAATCCTGACAACCACGATGCCATGTGTCTCTGGACTGTCAGAAAAGGCACCCAAAATAAAATCTAAGGCCAAAGAAAAACAACTAAAGCATGAAAAGCTTCTTCTCTTTTGTTTCATTTCAACCAGTGAGTTGAAAGGTGTGGTCTAATTTAGTAACAACAAAATCTCTGGTTCTCATTAAAAAATAAATAGAGATAAAAAAATGTTGAAGCACTCGATAATGTCGTAGAGAATCTAGACATACAGTAAAAACGTTGATAATATTTGACACAATTAGTATGGTTTTAGAAAGAGGAATAAACTAAGAGCAAATCGGTAAAACAAAAAGTGCTCATTCAGAGTAACAGGCAAAAAGCAATCAGCGAAACACCCATCTTGATTCTGTCTCTGGTTCAGTTAGAATAGTGGTTCCTTTTGTTGGAAGACTGAAGGACTCCAGTGGGCAGCTGACACGGTGAGTCACTCTCTCTTTACTTAAAATGTTTTGACAGAATGTGACATAATTGTTTTGGCACTCTAAAACAAGGCCCCTGGAAAAAAAAAATACTGCTGGATATGTTCCTGTGTTAACGATAACACGATTAGGATCATGATTAGAGAGTGAAGGAACCAGGCGCAAAGGTGATTGGCAAGTGTCAGACACTCAGACGGACCCACTGTAGGACACTTGGCAAGATTGATTTACTGCAAATGGAAAGATAAAACAGAGGATAAATCACATTAAATCGATTGTTGAAATTTCATTTCCACTAAATGAGAGATGGAGTTGAAAAATGGAGTTAGCAGCCATGAAGGTTAGATGGAAGCAGGAAGCAGAGGACTGAGCATGCAGTGTTATGCATGCAAGAGGCAATGAAAGTCAGATACTGCGTAGTATGTTTCAGGCAAATATTTTAGAAAACCTTTTTAACAAGGATGACTTTTCTAACCATAATCTTCTATGCCACAAACCTTAAAAATATAAATCATTTCTGTTTAAGAACATAGTAATTTATTTTTAAATAAATAAAACAATGGTAAATGTGCAAGCAGTAATTGTATCTTTGTTTGGCTTTGATATTACATTTTCATCATTAGCCATGTAAAAATTCACAGTGCCATACTGATTCTGTTTTAGAATCAGATTGAGATTGAATTAAAAAAACAAACAAACTGTTTTTAGCAATAAAGAATCAGAAGAGAAAAACAGAAAGTACTATGCTAAGACTGGCGGTACAACTGTAGGCTAATAAAGCTAAAGAATGTTGTCTAGTTCCTTACTTTAGATCCTATATAATAAAAAGTTAGAAAAACATAAACAGCAAAAAACAAAAAGGAAGAAAAAAAAAAGTTAACCTTTCACAACTAACTCCTCAAAAAGAAAATCCCAGTCAACAGTTGCTAAATACAGGTGTAAACCGGTATTATCTTCTTCATTTTTCCACCAACACACTCACCCACCTATTAACTTATCACTGAACTCTGAAATAGACGGCATGATAAATTAAGCCCGATTATAATTATCACATCAAATCTGAAAGGGTGGCAGCCTGAAAGCAAGTGTCAGACGGAATAAAATTAGCAAGAAGGTGTCCAGTGTCATTCGGTTCTCAGGCCAAATAAGGATAAAAATTGTAAATCAAAAAAAAGCTTATACCCCATGCTTGTGCAATATCTGCCAAATCGATCAGTTTTTTATTTTATTAGGAAAACAACAAATATTGAATATTCAGAAAAAATACAGGAATTGTTTCACAAAATGACAAAGAGCAGCACAAGAGAAAAGGATGGTTTAGGGCTAAAGTAGTAATTTTAGTATACAGTTAGTATAAGAGGTGTTAAGGTCATAGGAACAGAGAGCTTAGAGTTAGAAGAAGGGGGTGTAAGTAAAGCCTCAGAGAGATGCAAATCTTGTAGATAAATAGATACATGAGATATAGAATTTTATGAAAGCCAAGGAAAGCTTTGCAGATGAACCTGTGGCGTCTGCAGACGCTCAGTGGCTCAGAGTGGTTTCTGTAGCACAGCCTCCGACTTACATGGTTGGAGGAGGCTCCCTTGGCCTTTGTTTTGCCCTTTCCTCCCGCCGCTGTGGAACGGCGCGCCTGCTCATGGTCAAACTCCAAATCCTCCAGACGCTGAGTCAATGCAAGTTTCTGTTGGATGGCCATACGTAACAAAGAATTCAAGGTCTTCTTCTCATCCTCTGCGGCAGCCAGCTGCCTCTGCATGTCATCCAGCTGGGTGACATACTCATCACACCTGGGAGGCAGATTTGAGGAGAAAAAGAAGCACGAAGAGATTTACTTTCTTTCCAGCAGATGGAGCAGTTGTGCTTGAACTGCCTCTGCTGCTGTCACATGTTTTCTCCATTGCCCAGACAGCATTTCCAGATGGGAGGATGAAGTCTCTGCTAGCTGATTCACACAAGTATTACATCAGACTGTTCCCACAAAGAATTGTGTCTCTCTTATATTCTGACATATAACAAAATAAGCATTCTTTTTTCAACTATCTCTTTCTTTAACTAGAAAAAGATGCTGAAAAGAGGTAGATTTAAGAACATATTTAGCTCACATTTTGTTATATTTCCAGTTGAAGACACAGTTAAAATAGATGTCATGCATTACATTTTAAGCCCTGGACCACCTGGATGTCACATGATGGTTTATTTAAAGTATGTCAGGAATAAGCAAACTTGGGATCCTATGGAATCATACCTTGTGGCAAACATGGCTCGAAGAGAGGAGAACGTAGCAGCATCCTCCTTCAGAGCCTTCAGTTCATTGCGGAGCTTCATTATCGTCTCAGTCACCATGGCCTTCTCGCTTTCATATTTACTCTTCAGGTTGGCCAGGGCAACCTCAGCAGTCTAAAAGGAACAAAATCGTATATAATTATACATTTTCTTAAACTTTTACCTCATCTAAACTCAGCAGTTATTTTCAGCTGGGGCAAATGTTTCCCCTTTTGTTTGAGAAACATCAAACAATGAATATCCTTCCTTTCTTTATCTCACACACACACACACACACACACACAGAGAGAGAGAGAGAGAGAGTGGTCCTCTGACCTGTTTGTTGGCTTTGAGCACAGCTCGGAGAGTGGCGATCTGCTCCCTTTTGGTGCTCAGCAGGGACTTCAGTTTGAGGATCTCTTCCATGCAGGCCTCTTTGTCTTTGTCTGCCACTGTGCTCAGCTCCAGATTGGCGAGTCTCTGCCGTGACAGGTCAGTGGTGCGATCCACTGCCTGCTGAAGGTGGCGGATCTGGTCTCTGATGATGGCTACGAGATTGTAGACGTTCATGGACTCGGGCCGGTGCTCGGGGGGTGGAACTGGGGTGACTTTAGTGGTGCTGGAGTCTGCCTTTACAGACTCAGTGTCAGTGATAAGCCCATTAGAGAGAAGTACAGAAGACTGGTGCTCCTTGCCTTCCTGACCTCGTCTTACTTTGGCCTTACCTTCTTTGTAGTAATCGAGCATGACACGGTTTGGCGTCTCATTGTTGCACATGCACACATGGTTGTAGAGATTAGCCAGCTCTTCGCTGAAAGCTATGAGCTCATCCTGAGCCACATTGAGGCTGCCCAGTGATTCTCCTGCAGCCTCACTGACCAGATGGAGCTCCTTCTCCAGACGAGCCACCTCTGCTTTATCAGCCTGGCTGATCTTTTCCAGGGACGCAAATCTTGACCTCAAGTCCTGAATGTCGCAATCCAGCCGGCCTCGCTCGTCTTCATACTGTGTCCGACACTCCTCGTATTTTGCTCTCAGAGACTTCAGCTCATGCCTCAGCTCCCCAGCTTCAGACACCGCCACAGTGTACTTACACTTCAGGATCTCAGGTCCATTTATGTCCAGCTCATAGTAGTCTCCATCATCGTGGCTGTCTCGTCTTTTTCACTGTCCAGGGCAGACTGGCGCTCCTTACTGGCCTGCAGTTTCCTCATTGCGCTGAGATTTTCAGTCAGCCTGTTGACAGTTTCCTTCTGCTCAGACACAGTCCCGTAGGCCTGTTCCAGGTGCTTCTGGTTCTCCTGGAGGGAGTTCATCAGGGCGACTTTCTCCCGCTCCACCTAATATAAAGACAAGGTATTAAAATCCATCAATCAACTTTATTACTTATTATCCATAACAAATACACAAAAACATATATCAGTAACTCCACAGATAGCATCTTAAAATGTTCTACGCAATTGCTATGGCCTTACATGATCATGTATTTACAATGTAAGCAAAGGGCAGCTCTTATTCACACTTAGAGTGGACAGTCAGTGTAATTACAGTGTATCTTCGATTAATGAGACTTGTGTGTATGGCAAGTATACGATTCAAATATACAGCATGTTGAGCTGAAAGTGAAACGACTCTGAATGACTGTATTGAAACATGGGTGCTACAACAAACTGCAGTAATTGTGCTAGTTAGTACTGGATGGTCAAAGAGTATCTCATAGACTTTATACCTGCATCAGCTGCTGTTTGAGTTTCTGGATCTCAGAGATGTTGAGCTCACTCAGCAGGTCATCCACCAAGCTCGGAGCCGGCATAAAGGCGTCCCCTCGCTTGTTCCCCAGGGCTCTGTTGTCATCGTCACCTTCACCTGCTTTGGCCAGGCCGTTCTCAAAGCCTCTGATGAGATCGTCGTTGTCAGGCTCGGCGATGGCAGAGGGGTCATCGTGGAGTTTGAGGTTGTCGATGGAGATGTTGAAAGAGCCGTTGTACACAGAGCCACCGATGGTCATGTAGTGGGAGAGCTCCTTGCGCAGGGTAGCCTTCTGCTCGCGCTCTGTTTTTATAGTTTCTAAGGCTTCCGCCAGCTGGCGCTCTGCAATTTCTCTTAGACCCACGGCTTCATCCAGTTGGCTGTGTAAGCACTGGGAGTCCTCCTCAAGACGGCGGATCTCGTGCTTTAGACCTTCAAATTCCACCTATGCAGATGTTCATAAATATGAATAAGGCTGTCAGTAGCTTTACTCAGTTCAATGTTATGGGTTTTTCTGTGACAAAGGAGCCTAAAATTGTCCAGAATGACCAAAGGAATATTTTCCAGTGATCATTAAACAATACACCTCTCACCTGGCTCTGTCTCAGCACAGACACTTGTTTCTGCAGAGAGATGTTCTCCTCCTCCAGCTCACTGTAGTCCTGCAACAGACGAGCCTCCCGCACCTTGTACTCTCTGATGTCCTCACGCAGCTGACCGCGCTGCAGTTCTGCCAGATCGGAACTCTGAAAACCACAGGAGAGGGGAAAGAGATGGCACATTATGTTGAATTGCATCAGAATAAACTCTAATTAAGATGCTTTATCATTGATTGCATAAAAGATCATTCGTCCTCGCAACTTGTCTGGTGTGTCTGTGGGTGAACCCAGGACCAGCGTGTCAGCATGTTTCACATTCCACAGAGGCGAGATGAAAGTAACGACCGGAAGAAGGACATGGTCCACTTCTCAGTCCACTCTACAGAGAGCCCTGGCAGAGAACATCCTTTGTGTCACTCCCAGTGGACATTACATCATCTTTCCTGCTGACTGACCCTCCCCCACAACAAACTTCAACACTCTCACAACTCCCTGTGACAACTTCTGCTGGGGTGGTCCGGGCCTCCAAGTCAATCTAAACTTCCAGAAGCTTCACTAACCTTCTCTTCTATCCTATTTTGCTTGAAACTGTGACATACAAGGAGTCCTTTTTTTTATCAAAGTAATTTGATTCAAATACAACTGTGGGCCAGTTTTAAGTTAGACAAAAGTAACATCTCATTGAAAGTACTTTAAGTTTTCACGTTTTACGACTCAAAAGGCTTGACTGAAAACACACCACAAATGTAAACAGTGGATGGAGGTTTCAACAAGATGCAGAAGAATAACCTGGCAAATCCTATTTTTTATCTAAATATAGGGACTTTGTTAAAACAGACGACGTTTTTGTTTTTACATTGGCCAATTTAAACCATTACCTCTCTCATCTCAAGGGCAATAGATGACAGGCGTTCATTTTCAGATTGCACACTGGTGAGTGAGACTTTGGCCTGTCGCAGCTCACTCTGCAGCTCGAGGACCTTCTGTTGATACAGAGCCTCCTTACTGGCAGACTCCAGGATCAGCGACTCTTCCCTGCTTTCCCCATCTGCTGCCACCTTCCTGTGGGTAGAGTGAGCTTGTCCAAAGGCCTGAGGGACAGACGGAAAAGAGAAATAATAAACAACAACACTACTTTAATCTGTCAAAACACACAAACAGGTGTAATGAAAAGATTGCTAAAGATAAGTACAGATAACAGTCTATAAAAAATACCTGGCCCTGTGATTCACTGCATTTATTACTGGCTGTTTGATTGCCTGGTGTGTTACAGAGAGAGACCATTGGCTCACATGTGCTGTGTCAGCCTGCAGCTATGTTTTGGTGTTATATCAAGTTGATCACATTACACACTAAACAACCTTGGAAAGATATTACTGCAAGCACTAAAGTCATCCAGTGTTTCACACAGCACTTTGTAGTCAAGGCAGCCGCCTTAACAACACGCACCCTCCACCTTAACTTCTTTTGCAGAAAAAAACCTCAAAATTGATTCAAAACATTATCTCTTTATCTCTCCAAGTGAAGACCAACAGCAGCTCCAAATGTTCTTGAATGCTCCGTTGGGATCCCCCAGCCTGCTGTAGTAGCAAACTTTTAGACAAACAAACCCCGATACAGAGCGCTGTTTGGTCCAAAAAACCTAAGGTAAAGCCCCTTAATGCACGCACCTCCTTTGCTGTTTGGTTTGACTACACAGCATTTGCTTCAGCTGCAGCCAGTGCACAGACACACACACATCTGCTAAATGAACGGAGTGTTTGTTTATCGTGTTACATGTCCAACATTGTGTAAGCTTATGAGAACGTGTTTCTGTTAGTAACTGCAGACTTATTGTTCACAGAAAGGTTACTTTTTCTTGTATTGTAAGGTTGATACCTCTGATGGGGGTTAAGAAATACTGTCATTGAAATGATGCAGCTGTTCATATTCCATTCAGTTGTACTCAGATTTTTAAAAGCCCTTTTTAAGTAAAACAGGAGTTCAGGCTGATCTAACTGCTTATATTTATCTTATTCAGGGCTGTCAGAATTGCTTTGTTGTTGTTTTTTTTGTATTCACTTTCAGAAATTGACAACAGGTGCAGCCCCAAGTAAGACAGCCCCAAAAAGAGAAAAGAAAATAGGTTTTTCATGTGGTGGCCTCAGAGAGTTGCTCTTTCCTTGTCCTTCCATGGGTGGATACCAAGCAAAGCTTACAGTCAAGTCAAATCACTAACAGTTCACATGAGGGATAGGTGGATATCTGATTCCCACAGGAGACTAACTCAGACTTGTAAAAATCCATAACAGAGCCAAACGGGGTAATGTTTCAGTTAAACTGACGAGCTGTGGCCGGTCTGGTATGACCTGATCTTACAGCACAGTTGGCCTTGATTTATGATTCATTTTCCAACATCAGCCTCACTGACAGACACTACTGAAGAGAGAAGTAAGTCATGAGGTACCAAGAAAATGACAAGAACAATGAATCATGACGTGACTGGACCGTGAGCTGCACCATGAATAATGTAATAAGGACAAAAAAAAAAATCCCCTATAACTAAAATTAATCAACGAAGCATCCATGAAAACTCCAGTTTTCATCCAGTAAGGATACAAGTCAGCTCATTTTCACAGGAAATGTGATTAATGTGTTGACAAAAGAGCTGTAACAATATGAGTCTTAATCAATCACTCATGATTATGATGGGTAATCATTTCAGTATATTTCAAGCTAAAATGCAAAACATTCTGTATTTGCAGTTTTGGGTGGATTTCCTTCTTTGTAATTATTATAACTTAAATGTTAAAATAATTTGACTGATATTTCCAAGATTTAGTAAGATTCAAATGTTAAGTCCAAATGTTAAATCAATTAATCAATAAAAAGGGAAGATAAGTTGATTATGCAATGCACATCCATGTGATTGTAATTGGACCCAATCATTATGACCTTTTTTTCACTATTTACATAAGTAATCTGATCAAAATGATTTGCCTTTGTGGCTTTCTGGCTACTCGTGAAACAACATAAAATATCTCAAAACAAGAATTCATTAATAGTCGTGACAGCGGATGGAAACCACAATTGCTGATCGCTAAAGCCCACGAGGAAGTGTCTCAGGGTGCACTTCCCATTAAGGCTGATAAACTTACGTCAAACATACACAACTCTGACCAAAATGAACTTCAGGGAAAATACAGACTTCTCTCTGGAAATCAAGTCTCATTTTCACACAAGAAAAAAAGCTCAGAGATTTATAGTTATAACATTTTAACACTGAATATATGGTTAAAAACCAATAGGCATCTGAACGAACTGCAGTCCAGTTTAACTGTGCAAGCATTATAAGATGGACTTAAACTAAAATGTATATTGATAGTTTTAATCAAACTGAACACGTTATCACATATTTGTGGTGGCAGAATAAACAACTGGACCATTAATGTTGTCAAAATGTCTCACACTGTGATACTTTTTTTTTTTTTAAATGTAAAAACAAAAAAAACAAAAATGATACAGTCTCCTGTATTTTAATGATTGAAAAAACTGAAAGGCTTTAAGATAATAGATCTAAACCACAAAGCTTCTGCAATCTAAACTGCACAAATACATTGACCAATGCAGTTTTTGACAGTGTGAAGAAGTTTGCTTGCACTTTAAACAAATAATAAAAATGATTACTCCAAAATTGGCTGCCTATTACTTCTATTTTTGTTGCTGTGGTATAAAAAAAAAAAGGTACCGAAATCATTGAGGTTTACTATTATCACATCACATTAAAAATTCTGGTAGTAGCCCTTTATATTACACCCAATAAAATCACAGCAAGTTTGCCACACTGGCATGTTAATATGACATAATACTGCAGCTGCAGACGTCATCAGTACACACCTAAGAGCAAGTACAGACAAGTGATGAGAAAGTAACTTGTAAATAAACCATTATGCCACGTAACAATTGTTTTCCTCGGGGGAAAAAGCGTGAATATGATTTCAACCAGTTTTCGTTCTTCTTAATAAGACGTGACTTTTAGCTTGTCAACTTTAAATTTAAGGGCAATTACATACTTAAAAGTTTGCCTTGAAAGAAAGCCGGCAGATGATCGACTGACCGATAACTCCAACACGGTTCTGTTTATAGACTGAGGGGCTGACACGTTCAAACCCGTCGGAAACTAGAACGTTCAACATTGCAGAGGCTACTTTTTGACCGTAATGCTAACTGGATTCCTGCGGCTACCGTCACATACCGAGTGTCCTAATTCTGATACATTAAACGCTACACCCGCTGAAGATATTTCTAAAGCGATGGGTTGCGTGGCTGTGACCCAAGGTTACCTCCTTCAGCTGGTCCAGCTCATGTCGGACCGTCTCGTACTCTGTCTCCAATTCATCAAATCGCTGCTTGAGCTGCTGTTTCTCCTCCAGCACCGCGAGCCCGTACTCAGCCGCCTGGATCTTCTCATGGGTCGTTTCACGGAGCTCCCGGGTAAGACGCTCGACCTCGGCCCGGAGCCACTGCGGCCCGGCCTCTGTCACCAGCACCGCCTCGGCATACTCCTTCTCCTCCATGGACATCTTGGGGAGCCGACGACTCCCAACTGGAACTTAACGGGACCCAGCCCTGTCTAGCAGGGGCTGCATATAAAAACCACCGAGACCGCAAATCACTGCCTTCTTTGTTTGAACCGCATTGTTGGAACTTTAAATTGCGTTTCGTTCCCTTTGTCCCTTTCCGACACAGACTTCGACTAAGCTCAACGATACATTAGTCATTCTCATGGAGTTTTTCTTTAGCCTCTTCACCAAGTTGTCATAGGGAACTTGAGATCATCGATTAGAAAAAGCTACCCCTGAACGACATTCAAATCTGTTTGAGTGTGACGGGAAATGTAGTTCTAAACTCTACGGCAGTATCTCCCTGAAGAAGCACTGTGGCTTTCATATTGCCTTCAAGTACCAGAATGCATTTCGCAGGCTGGAAGGGAGCCGGCTACGAATTTAATATGTCAATACAACGCTGCCACCTAGAGGCTTCCTAATGAAACTACAACTGCACACAAGGCAGATTCAAAGGCCTATTTGTTTTTATATTAAAGGGACCGTCTATGTTTTCTCCTTCATTTTTTTTTTTTTTTTTTTTTTACAATTCTCTGTCCAATATTTCCAAAAGATTGGTAATAAATGACTTGCCATTGAGCTGTCACCTGTCAAGTTCTCTGATGACACAATCATCGTTGGGTGTGTTTCTGAGAAGAACGAACAGGAATGCAGGCAGGTCATCATGAACTTTGTTGACTGCGTGAGCTGAACGCCCTTCGGTCTATAACTGAATCACTAGTGACCAATACTTAATTCAAACTTAGTTGCATATGCCTTATCCAGTGTGCAGTTAGCCTACATAAATTATATTTTCAGTGATTCTTCACATGTACAATGTTTATGGCACTATATTCACTTTATCATATCAACATGCTACACACTATTTGTGTGTTTTGAAAACTGGTTCATATCTTCCCTCAAGTGAAGGTGTACATACATGTTATTGTTATTACACTATATCTTTCTTGTTGTATTTAATTATTGTTAGATGGTTTTAATATTTTTTTCATTTTGTTGATTACCATCGCCCTCTGCTGTTGTGACAACAAAATTCCCCCACAATGGGGAAAGTAGGCTATATCTTATGTTATCTTAAATTCCCAACTCCTAAAATATGAAATAGGTAAATAAAGAAAGTGAACACAAGGCTGTAGCCAACTTTTTTGCTTTAGCATTTTTTCTAAGTTTATGTATCGTTAAAATGTATGGATTCCCAAACAAAACCTTTTAATTTTTAAAGATGTAAATGTGTCTATGAAATGCATAAATAAAGCTGTGAAGAAAAGTTTCCACATATTTCCAATGTTCTTAAGCCTTTAAACTTGACTTTAAAATCAGTCAAATGTGAAAGCAGAACTATCTTGTCTGGGACTTTCCTTTGTCTGTGTTGTTGGAGGAGTTTGGACTTTGCATTCCTGAAGTTGAATTTCCTGTTCTTATTTCACCTGCCCAGAGAATCAAGCTGCTGCAGCTGAACAGAGATGGTGAGTTAACTTGTGTTTCTGGATCTTTCACCTGTCCTGTTGTATATCTCTCTCTAACTGTATATTTATATTACTATTTTTCTTTACAGCTCTCTCTCCTGTTTGTTTGTCTTTTAAAGTCTCCCTCTGTTTCTCTAGCAACAACCTACTCAATTCAACAGTTTGTGTTGATCTGTCTCTGCCAAGTGATCATGATAATGTTTCTCTTTCAGGCATACGTAAAGAACCTATTTGTAAACTTTTATCAACACTGTATGTACATCAAACATTACAAACTCAGGGTGGTGGTGGCACATTATACCATAAAAAGCAATTCAACTTCATTAGCTGGTTCTCCCTCACATTAATGTTCACCTCTGGACATTTTCAGACAAATATTGCCATTTCTTTTCAATCTGCTTCGGTCTGGGGTGGGGAACAGCACTCTATAGTCCCTTTCGTTGTAAGTATATCAAGAATCACTTGTGTTTTAACATTCTGCATGGATTATGTACATTGGAACTACTCTATAACAAATCTACATAATTGAATAGTGTTTGTGTCGCATTTCAGCTATAGTTGAGCCATCAGTTGTTGCTGCAGTTTTCACCCTACTGTTTCAGTTTGTAAGCCCACTGTTCGGTAAGCTGAATTTACATGACACAAATGTTACAGAGAGAAACAGCCCTCGTTTCATTTGAGAAAATTCCCTGATTACATTGTTCCAGTGGAAATAACATCAGTGTTCATGTTGTATGTTTCCTTTCAGACATACAGGCCCATACAAAGGCATGTAAAGGCCCTCCCTATGACAGAGGAGGTACACATTTACTAAATGATATCGTAATGAGCATTTTGTTGTAAAACTGTAACAGATTAATCATCTTTTATATCTATTTCTACAGACTTTTTTAAATTTAAAATCTTAGCCCATTCATGTAATATGGAGAGTTTTCAAATGTTGAGTGATCAATATTTAGACACTGGAGTAAGTAAGTAAGAATACTACCAACATTTAAAATGCCAACGTCAGCTAATAGTACAAAAACTGGATTTTTATCTTATTTTGAACTACTATCCAAGTTAAAAAAGTAACATCCCCTTCCAACTCTTTAGATGTTTACTTTGGATTTTTTTCTGCACTCCTTGTGGCCATCCTGAACTTCAAATCATATGATGGTAAAGCCACATGACTTCACAGCATGTGAAATATGCAAAACACCCGGAGATTAAAAAAAGAAAAATCTATGCTTACATATTGTTTTTTGTTCCAGTTTTCCCACTGTCTTATGGATGTGGACTTATAATGTTTTCCCTCTGTGGAGCAAAACGGAAATCCAGCTCTCTAAGGTAGGCATGCTTACAAATGCTGTTTCAAATTATGCACATTTGTTCATCTTTTACACAGCTTGAAAGTTGAAGTCATAGTATTTGTATCATCTGAGTGTTATTTGTGTCTCTGGAAAGGAGGCTGAGAGAGCAACAGCGCCCCTGGTGGTAGAAGGAATCTACAATCACACCTGTGTTATCTACACGGTCAAAGAGAAGAGTGTGTTAGATGTATTTCACTGAAACAGTAAATCTACCACAAAACAACCTCATACATACGGAAGTGAATGGCATTCACTCAAGAAAACTTTTTTTTAGACCTCTGATCTCATAACTACAAGATCATGATCTCAAATTTACGGGATCTTTTCTCGTGATTTTGAGTTAAGGATCTGATAGATGAGTTCCTGAGAACAAACATTTGAAATGGACATTTTTAGAGGTGCTTCATCACCTCTAAATTTCACCTCAGCAACCCTAAAATAATAACAGGGACATGAGCCCCACATGATATTTGACAGACATTTTAAAAAATATCTAAATTTCATATTTTAGCTATCATTTTGTATAATGTGTCAAATAATAATCAATAATACATAAAGTCAAACATAATCATTTGCTTGGTATTAACATCAATGTATTAATGCTTTTGATGCAATTCTGAAAAACAATTGTACTTTTAATCAATCTCCCAAGTGTGAATAAAGAAATCATCCCTATCAGCATATCCACTGTACAGACTTTTCTTGGTAGAAGTAAAAATAAGTCATTGGCACGAGTGAGGCCGGCATTTTGATCTGTAGCAGTCTAAAGAATTCAATCAGTAAAATAAATCATAACAGACAACACAGCGTTGGCAAATTTGATGCAATCCATTGATTTTCAAGGAAGAAATGTGTTTGGAATAAATCTTTTACTGGATTTGGATCGTGGGGACCCTATGATGGTAAATGGTAAATCAATACAAGGTTTCTTTGTCAGTGGTCTCACAGATGCGTAGATTGTGGCTGTTGTGGTGAATCTACACACACACTGATGCTCCCACAGATAGGCCATCATTGTTACTTTACGTGAAATAGCACACAACTATGAGATCAAGGCTTATAGACATCAATTCTGCAGGCAAGGTAACACCAACATCAGCACAGAAGCATCCTGGGAGAAATAATGTCTAAACACACACTAGATGATCATTCAGATGTGAGCTTTCTGTCTCGGAAATACCAACATTATTTTACCCTGCTCGAGTTAAACAACAAACATATAGCGGTGAGTTGTAGTCTTTGTGCAAGAAGAAAAACGTTGTCCACCTGCAGAAACAGCCTTGTTTTATATAGGAAAGAAAGTGACAGACTATCACAGACACAGTATCAAATGCAGAGGGCTTTATTACATGAAAGTAAGGTACATACAAAATTTCAAGTAACAAAGAAAGTGTTTGTTCTTGGGTTCACAAGTCAGATGTAACACTACCTTTACACTCACAGACAGTCATCCTCTCCTCTCTTCAGCACTCCAACTTGTGTTTAAAAAAAGACGATGTCACTATCATCACACTGTTGCTACCCTCCAGATGTCTGACTAGCACAAATGAACATGGAGGTGTGTGGGTTGATGGTAAACTCAGAAACACACAGTGCTGAAGAGAAATGATACAACTATTGAAATCACAACAGTTTGTGTAGTCTTAAGATGTGATTTTAAGTGACTGCTCTTTACGACCTAACTACATTTGTTTGATTATTTTTTCCCACTACCTTCTACTAAACAACAACTCATCTGTCTTTTTCTGACACTGTGGTCATGATCAACACTTACTTTGAAGCTAGGCCCCACCCATTTTTATAAAGGGCTACATCAGAACAATATAAAAACATTTCCAGATTAATGTCATCAAAGAGCTTTTTTAAAAAAAACACACACACACAAGAGCATCACAAAGTATAGTTATTACTGCCACATTTTGATTTCTGTATGATGAGGATATGTGCATATCTCTGTCCTTTGGTGTGGGGTGATGGGTGAATGAAAGAAGGGTCAAAAGGTGGAAATCTACTTCAAAGTGTAAAGCACAAAATCACATTACTTCAGTACACACTTAAGGGCATTCACAGTGAAGGATTTTTTTTTTTTTTTTTTAAGAGCTGGGTGTCTTGTGAATCAAAAACATATTCGACGGTTAACCATCAGCTGCAGGGGTGTGATCAGACAGGTGGGTGGGGCAGGGAGGAAAGTTACTTGGCATTGGTGGAGCTGCTGACCATCTTGCGGACGGCCTGCACAATGGCGTCACGGTCAATGCCGTGGATCTTGAGCAGCTCATGGGGTTTGCCACAGCGGGGGACGTGGGACACGGCCAGACGGTGCAGATTGAAGCCGGACTCGTTGACCATAGCTGAGGAAACTGCCTCCCCGAGACCACCTGTGGGAAAACATTTGAAAAGTTATTAAAGGAAAACGCCCCCCGTCAATTGTCTCATTGCTCATGCTTTGATATAA